TTTAGGGGACGCAACTAAAATTTCAGTAAATTTTTTCAGAAAAGTAAAAAAAGTGGCTAACAATGGTTCCTCACCTTCTCGTGGTGTTGGCTGTTTTTACTAAGTGGGAACCGTCCATAAGATATAGTCTATTTCTTGCCCTGCCATTATTATTCTACAAGTTAATTGTGGAATGAGAATTTCATAATGTTTTCTATGAAATCTTCAAAATATAGTGATAAAAAATTTGCAACTACTACAAAATCGGCTCGCGAAGCGAGCCGAATGTCACTCGCGTAGCGAGTGACCGGGTGTCCAGGGGGCTTAGCCCCCGGCTAGGCGTGACGGGCGCGCGAAGCGCGCCCAGAACGGCTAGTATTATCTATTAATGTACGGGGGTTCTCCCCGCCCCTCATGGACTTCGGCGCCAAAATATTGTCAATGAGCTGACATTAAATCGTACCAACAGCTCAGAGTGACGTGAATTAGGAAGCGGCATTTATCGCTGAACAGGCTCTGATCAACTTTCCCTGCAGAATTATTGTCAAAAATATGCCTTGAAATGATATTTTTGCAATTTTGAGGAGGAGTGGGGGGGTACCAGGGGCTGCAGGAAAACAGTAAAGAGGCATATTGCTCCAAAATATTACAAGGATTCAGTAAATGGTGCTATTCATAGAGCTGCGACCAATCGTTCTTGGGTTTTGGCTGGCGAAGCAATTTTGGAGCACTAACCCTCCCCCCCCCATTCCAAACCGGTCACGCTAATAATGAGGACTGTTCTGGGAATCTGGGGGGACTCTGGGGGTCGTAAGGACCCACTATGCCAAAAATCAGGTTATAGTTAATTTTTTCCCTAACCTTCATACATAGAGTATGTAGAGTCGTAGTGTAAGTGGGGTGAGTTGGCACCACTTTTAAGCATTTTCCAGGTCCCGAATTCCGAGACTCCTGTGTGACGCCGTGTCACTTTTTCGATACATAATCGATTGTTCGTGATACACGGGTACCCGGCCATCGAATGTAAACAAAGAAGATAGGAATCACCACGTATTCCACACCGCCATTTTGGATCGAACATATATCGAAAAAGTGACCCGAACTCGGCGCACACCGGGCTCGGAACTCGTCGAGCAGAACATGGCGCCCGCTCTCCCATTTACATTACGACTCTATGTACTCTATGCCTTCATACAAGTCCTCGACTTGTTGCTACAAATGGAAAAATCGAGTTATTCGCTGATTTAAAGGGGTTCAAAGTGAAAATTTTAGGTTTCCAATGTCAAAACAAACATTATTACTTGTAAGTAGATTATGCAAAGTCACAATGAAAAATAATTTGATGCCTGTAATTACTGCTAACTGCCTTTAAATGTTGCGGCCAAAACGCTAAAAAGAAGAGTCTTCATCATTTTCGTCGCGATTAAAATCGCGTTGCGGCAGCACTAAAAATCATCCGATTTCAATCAAATTTGGGAATATTAAATTTTTAACATAATGACACGTAATAAAACCAGCGAACATCGATGATCCGAGAAAATGTTTTGTATGGTTCAAATTTGAGATACCCTAGTGCACATAGCATCCAAAAGATAGGGTCAATGCTATGTTCAAAGACAAAAATATATAACTCGAAATCAACTTCTTGGAACTAGAACTGTTATTGATAATAATTTTTCAAAATATGTTCAAGATAAAAAGTTTCCAATTAATTTGTTAGTTACACTCATGAACTTACTTTATATAAACATGTATCAATGACCTTGTTGCAAATCAATTCGAGATCTTCTGTAAGTAAGAGGCGTGAATTGATATAAGAACAGAGATCTTCATTTGACATCACATCCCAAACACCATCACATGCTAACACTAAAAACTCATCTTTTTTATCATCTCTATCTCTGACGAACACCTCAGGTTCAGGCGAGACTAGCTGTTCACAAGGCCCTCTTCCTTCCACATTTTTGTACTCATAGTCACCTGAAAATGAAATAAAAAACTAAGTGAGTAGAGTGATAAAGAAAGAAAATTAAAATTTGACCATATTACATGGCTTCTTCCTGGAGCCGTCCACTTAACATCGAACACGTGCTCTGCAATAGATGACATCTCTAAGGACAATACTCTTATCTTGAGGCTCTTAGTAAAACATATACTGCTGAAAATCAGATTTTATTATTCCCCTTTCCTTTCGTTGACACAGGTCTACACCTTTTTAAAAATCAAGTGATGCTTAGTTTGACCCCTTCTCTCTAAACGGCGTTTAATGATGACTGACAGATAAAGAATTGCCTCTCGCGTTGATTTTTTCATATTTGATTATCAAAAAACCAATGCTCCGCTTCGCTCCGCCCCGGTTTTGAGGGGGGAGGCGGGTTTCCCCCCCCCCCCAAATCTCCCCAGGACGCGCGCTTCGCGCGCGTATTTTCACAGTTTTCTGCGCATCTAGTTTTTTCTTCTTTTTAAGTGTCCCGCGCATCCACCGCGGGAAGAAAGTGTATTTCCCGAGGTGGGATTAGTGTAGTCCTAGAATCGTACGTCTGTAAGCCATTGTATAATGGATAGTCTTTTTCCAGATATTTCCTTTCCTTGGGCCGCTGCACTATGGTCCCAATTCACTTTTCAGTGATCAAAAATCATAGCGGCTCTCCGTTTGAGTATAAATACATTAAAGATGTGTTTTCCTCATGATTTTGATACGCTGAATCCGAATTTGACCTCCGCTTTTCCCTAAAAAATCATTTGCAAAAGTTACTGTCATTTTTTCACAAAAATCACAAACTACCATACGATTGGCTTGTTCTACTTGCTTAGATTGGATGAAAACCATGCGTTCATTGCACATACATGTACAGTTCATTTAAAATTAAGAATGTTTTGATTTTTTGACACCCCCCCCCCAATTTTTTTTTTTTTTTTTTTTTTTTTTTTTTTGGAAAACTGAACTGAAAAAAATGAAATAGATCTAAAATTCATTTGTATTTTAAAAATGTCGAAATAATGCTTCAGAGAAGACTTTTCTTTACGTTGATTTGACGGGAAACGCAAATCGGGTACATAACAATGTTGAAGAGCGGGGGTGCAATATTGTCACGTTAAGAAAAATTCAATCAACAATGGATAAATATTCGGAGAGTAAGAAATTTTACACCAATAGGTACTTTCTAGGATTGAAAAGAGCGTTTTTAAAGATAAAACTGTGGAACGGAAAACTTCCCCAAAAATCTCAAAAAGTAGGGGGAACCAAATTTTTTTCGAAACGGTCAACCTCAAAAAGATTCATAGAAGCCATATAAGTGCGTCTCTGTAGATGCAAAAGTGCTTAGCACGTGTTAAGCCTGCAACTATAGGTGTTTTTCGGGGCAAACAATTGAGTTTTCCTGGGACAAACACGTAGTCACGTAAAACATTCAAATTTGGTCAAAAAAGCAGGCGGAAGCAATTATTTTTGGTTCGGTTGCCTTTCTAAGGATCTGCAGAAACGACTTAAAAGTTCTCTGGAGGTGCCAAATGTCTCAGAATATTTTTCGAGGGGCTTTCCAGGGTTGTAAAACAGTATTTTGAAAGAAACACGCAGGTACGAAAAAGATTCAAAATTCGTCCAAAAAGCAAGAAGAACCAACAATTTTTGGTTTAAAATCCTTCTTAAGGATTCATAGAGACTACTTAAGCACGTTTTTGGAGGTGTCGCATGCCTCAAAAAAGTTTAAGACGACTACAGATTGATCGATGGCTAAACTTGCTAAATACCGTTATTTTACCCACCGACTTAGAGACCTAGTAAATTCGATTTCTCGAGAAAAAGCAAACCAAAGCACGAAATATTTCTACTGTAGCTTCCCACGGATGTGTAGAAGCTCCCTAAAGGTGTCTCATTAGGTGACCTTTGGTGACTTTTTTTTAAAATGAAAGTTCGTGGGAAAAATCGGCATTTTTTTATGAAAAATAGGTATCCAACTTCTACCTTGTGTGGGATGTGTCAGAATGCCTCGGAGAAAAATTGTAATTAGTGCGTTACAATCCTCTTGGAGTCCTCTACAAAATGGTATAAGCAAGAATTCTGAGAGACCATTTCATGATTCAGGAGAGGCTCCGAACGCTTTGTTAGAAATAGCCACTTCACGGGTCAGAAAATACGTATCCGACTATTTGCACAGTTTGTGACACTTTCAAAGTGACTAGAAATTTTTTTGAGGTATACTACGTGTAGTTTATGACCCGTAGATACTATATTTATCAATTTTGACTTGAAAAAAAAATGTCGTCCAATTTCGTAAACATCGATTTTTGAGCGCTCCCGAGCGGATTGGGACCATAGTGCGCTGTGCGACGAACAGTTCGTCCAAAAACTTGCTTCCCCTGCCCTGACCCACTGTGCGACGCAGTTTGTCCAAAATCTTCCATCCCCTGACCCACTGCGTGCGACGAACACTTTGTCCGGAAAATTCTTCCACCGACCCACTGTGCGACAATTAGCTTGTCCAAAAACTTTCTCCCTCTGACCCACTGAGCGGCCCTGCTCCGGCCGGCTCCCTTCATGCCGCGCACCCCCCGCCTATAACTTTCAAAGCTCGCCATTTTTAAACGGCTCGGCCGATTTAACTCAAATTCAATACCAAACCAGTCCTAGGGGAGAAGTACCACCCATAAAAATTTCAGCTAAAAATATTCATTTTAACTCGAGTTATCGAGTGGACAAGATTTGACCTCCTCCCACCTTCGAGCCCCACCCCTTAAAATCTATTGCCTCAAATTTCAATATTTTTTCGCAGAACAGTAGTGGTAATGAGTCTCCACTAAATGCAAAACAATTGGTCAAAATATCTTTCAATGTAAGAAAGATATAACTACTCAAAAATCGAAAAATCTTAAAAAGGCGGAAATACATACATACGTGCGTACGTACGTACGTACGTGCATACATACATACATACGTACATACGTAATAAATGTATTTACCAACCAACCAACCATACGTACATACATACGTACGCACGTGTGTACGTATGTAGGTATGGTTGGTTGGTAAATACATTTATTTGGTGCTTTAACATTGAAGCCATTAACACCGTAGATGAGGAGAGATCGTCAAAAAAACATAATGTATGCATGTATGTATGTGTGTATGTATGTATGTATGTATGTACGTATGTACGTATGTACGTATGTACGTATGTATGTATGTATGTATGTACGTACGTACACGTGCGTACGTACGTACGCACGCACGTACGTGCGTATGTTTGAAACATATGTAAAATACCGGACGTTTTGGGGCGAAACACCAACCCCTTCCTCAGCGGCTAAAACAAAAAAATAAAGCTAAAAATCTAAAAAGCTACCTCCTCCCCATCTCGCCAATGCTTAGATTTTTAGCTTTATTTTTTTTGTTTCAGCCGCTGAGGGAGGGGTTGGTGTTTCGCCCCGAAACGTCCGATATTTTACAAATGTTTCAGCTTTTATCCCAAATTTTATTGTGATATATATATATATATATATATATATATATATAAGAATGGCATATATTTTCGTGATCTACGACCCAAGATCGGTGCTCTCCACGGAGTCTCAGGTCTGGATCCAAAATCATGGGAAAATGCAATAGTGTATTTTCGTCGAAAATACACTAAAAATTATCACCATGCTCCTAGTCTAGCATTACAGAACTCAGCCCTGAATCCCTCTCCCCCCNAATCTGTCATGGTAGAGATCCTCCGGAAGCTGGCATCTCTCCATCTCTTCATGGATGCCCTCTACCCACCGTTTGGCTGGACGCCCTCTCCGTCGCCTACCTGGGGGGACCCACTCCAACACCTTCTTCGGCAACCTGGTATCAGCCATTCTCTGCACATGCCCATACCATACCAATTGCTTGGTCATGATATCGTGCACAATCGTCCCCTCAACGCCCATTATCTCTCGGACACGTTCATTCCTGACACGTTCTCTCCTCGAGATTCCAGCCGATCTTCGCCAGAAATCCATCTCGGTCGCCTTGAGCATTTCTTGGGTCCGCTTCTTCAACTGCCACACTTCACTGCCATAGGTGATAATAGGCTTGACAACCGAGTTATAAATCCTCTTCTTGTTGTCTTTGGAAATCCTTTGGTCCCAAAGGATCCCATTAAGCATGGCGATGGCTTTCCTTCCTAGAAGATTACGGTCCCGAATGGCCTGATCCAGCTTCCCATCCGAAGTCAGGTTCACCCCCAGGTACTTGTATTGTTCGCAACTTTCTATATGTTGACCATCCTCCAGGACTATGCTTTGCTGAGCGCCTCCGACTGACATCTTTTTTGTCTTACGGACACTAACCTCGAGGCCCCATTTGCGGTACTCCTCCACCAACTTCCGGGTCATATACTCCGCGTCATCGTGATCTTGACTTATGACTACCTGGTCGTCAGCAAAGCATAGCGTGAACAGTGTTTCTTGGTCATTTAGAGGGACGCCCATGCCGGCACACTTTCTTTTCCATTCCTTCAGAACGTGCTCTAGATATATCTTAAACAGCGTCGGTGACAGACAACATCCCTGCTTAAGCCCCTTGGTGACAAAAAAACCGTCTGAAAGCCTTCCTTGGCACTTAATTCTAGCAAAAGCCCCCCGATAAAACTGCTTGACTGCCCCAATAAGTCCTTTACTAAAACCAGTTTCTTCTAGGACTTCCCAGAGTTTCACAAGAGGAATACTCTGAGTAGCTCTTAGTTGAAAAAGTGGGGTCAGTTGATGTTGCTGAGCATTAATTTTTATACAGGTCTGACCACCCTTGTGAAAAGTCGCCTGGAACTTGGATCCAAAAATCCAAACAAGGGGGAAGGGGGATTTTGACTCCTTCAATACCCCACTTTCGGCTCATTTCATTAGTTTTATTGATCCTTACAACTATTGAGAGGGTGGACACGGTTGATCTGGTTGAATTTTGTATATATTTCTGATGTGACTTCCCAGACATCTCTTTAAACTTCAGTCTGAGGACCCTGTAAAAGAAGTTTTAGGTACAAAAATACTTAATGGATGTATACTTAATTCCATAATGGACACGCTTGGCGCAGCTAAAACACTTCTTGGATGCGGTGTTTCAGGATTTCTGCTAATGTTTCATCCATTATGATCAAAACACAGGTATGTAATGTGTTAAAACTTTAACTGAATAATCTTAATGCTTTCACATGCTCTAAATCAAACATTTTAGAAAAATTACTTGGAGGTGTTTTTTCTCTTAACTTTAAATTGAGAGTGAATATTCTGAAACCGCCACTGAGAAAAGCCCTTTCAGTACCCAGTAACTCAATTTCTGCTGATTTTTACAGCTATTGGGAAGAGTTTCCACAGTGAATCTGGTTGAATTTTATTCAAATTGCAGACCTGGCTTCTCTAAAAAAGAATCCCTTAAAATGTAGGAGGGTCTGCCCCCAACTTAATGGATTTTGGCCCCTAAATATTCAACTTTAGAGTAATTTCATGGTTTTTATAATGCTTAGAGCTTATAAGAAGGAAAGGGTGAGTTTATTCGGCATAATTTGAAGGTGTAACCACTTTGATATCTTTTTTTCAAAGACCTTGGGTCCTGAAACTCCAAGTAAGGGGAGCTTGCTCCCCTGAACATCTCATTTTGGGCTGATTAATGTTAAAGGAAAAGCATGCTATTGATGCTCGCATGGAGTTTTGAAAACTTGAGGATTATAATGTAAGGCAAAAGGCATAGCACGGTAGTGTATCCTCCCTTTGCCTCTGGTAATTTTAGATAGCTTTGTGCTTTAAACAGGAGGGCAATTTAGTTCCCTTTGATACAAATGTTAATTAATATAACCTACCCAAGGCTCTGGAGACAGCTAGAGAGCCATTGACACGCTGAATCATGACACTGCCGCCAGCATTGATAATTCTTTCTTTCTCTGCAGGCAGAACAGGTTTGTGATCCCGAGTCGAAAATGTGGCTTCACCACCACTATAGAGAACAGCTCTAGAATCTCCGCAGTTGGCAATATAAATCTGCTTGGGAGAAATTAAGGCGCAAACAGCTGTGGAACCAGATTTGTCCTCTCCACTGGCAAGTCCTGGTAAGTGTCGCATACGAGCGTCCAAGTCTAAAAAACCAGCCCTGCGGAGGACAAACAAGAGGGCATTATATGACGGATGGATTATTTTCTGTCTTAGGTAATTGTAGATTTACTTTTGATTCAATTCCCACCTTTAAGTACGATGAAATTTTACATAATATTTCATGTTCCAACATGATACGCTGGATGAAATGGGAAGGTTTGTCGAGAAGTTTATAAATGACAAATTAAAAGGTTTGACTAACAATAAGTTTACACTGACGGTTTGAAATCTTCGCTTCTGAGCCGCGACCTAGAATTACTTCACTCACGGATCAATTCCACGGATTTGAGATAGAACAACATTTTTTGTTCCTCTGCCACAATCATGCCTGAAGAGGAGCACTTGCTTTGGAACATCATTGTACAGAACAGGAAAAAGTCTTCATTTCCAAGAAGAGTGAAAAGAAAGTAGAAAAAAAGAGCGACCTCTATTCCAAACACTAAAGATGAGCAATTTGACTAAAAATGTGAGTAAATAATTAAAAAAGAGACAAAAAAAGTATTACCTAATTCCTTTGATGAAATCAGAGTTTTTGAACTCTTCATTAGTTACAATGCAGTCAAGAAGATGTTCAGCACAATGAGCTGACACTTTGGCTCCTGCATGACCATCAAAAACAGCAAAAAAGGACCATTCTTTGAGATCTTCTCCCAATCCAGTTATTGCACAGTGGGCATCTTCCATTTCAACCCTCCACCCTTGCATACTGGCCACACCATAGCACAAACCGTTGCCACACCCATGCTCATTGTGCTTCTCCGTTTTCGGTTTTTCTAAAAATGCTCCCATTATTCATATAGTATTTACAGAGGTTTGAAGCTCTGTATTAGCGTTCTCTCATTTTGATCTGAAAAAAAAAAAAAAAAAAAAAAAAAAAAAAAAAAAAAAAAAAATCTGAGTGATGCAATTCTTAGTAACATGAGATAGACTAAAATGTAGATGAAGTACGTGTTAAAGCATGAAAAGACTCTCGTTTTCACCTAGGTACTGAAAATAGTGATTTTGGAATGATTTCACTGCGACAAGAAAAAACAGATTGATACTAAATTAGCCGCTTGCCTCGCTCCTTACAGAGTGAAAGGCAGCACTAGGGTGCAGCTTATACGATAGATTGAAATGATGAATTTCAAAATTGACAAGGAACCCCGCCAAAAGTTTCAAATAACGTAAAAACAAACGTTGTGGAACAATTTCGCAATTGGTCAACATTTAGAGGTCCCGACAGACCCTCAAAATTGCAAAATTTGGCTGATTTTCGCATTTTTTCATCAATTTTGGAAAATTTTCTCAGGTTTCATGGAGAGTTCTAATTGATAAATTTATTAATAAATAGGCAATAAATAACCTAAAATGCACCCCATCCTCCACCTTAAGCCCCCCATCCCCCTCCCTTAACGTTCCAACATAAATACACTCTTTATAAACTACGCTATTTTGGTAGGTAGTGACCAGAGAACTAAAGTAACACTGGTCAACACGAGTTAAAATATGATTGTGCCATGGTAGTTTTTAGCGCTAAGTCCAAAAAGGACCTTCGTTATGCTGGGTCAGGTCGATTTTTCTCGGAAAAATCAGGATTTTCTTTAAAAATCGAGCTTTTCCAGAGAAAAATCAATTTTCCGGAAAATCTGTGCATGGTGGAGAAAAGCTAAGGTCATTTTCGGATTCAGCAGCTAAAATTACACGAGAAACCATGTATTGCATGGCTATTAAAGTTTCTACTATGTTCCTAATATCGAGGTTTTTCCGGACAAAGGCTCCTTTCCACCCATGTAACGCATGAAATACTAATCCGATTGTTTTGCGTCAGAAAGGAGGGAAAATATTTTTTCTCAGGCAACAGGTAGAGTTGACTCCACTAAATTATTGCCGCTGCAGCCGAAAATGACCCATGAATATGTTTTCAGCTATTCTTTAAGGTAAGTATATCCTTTCGAATGAAAATAGATTCAAACTACTACAATTTCGTGTACCTATAAAGCTTGTCCACAGAGCATACCGAGACTGAATTAACTGGCTTAATATTTTCCTCTGGTTTTGTGATATCAGTTTCTTCCTCGGTAAATGAGGAAATGTCCTAGTCATCAGCGTCTTAGTTCATATTATTGCACATCGTAGGCCACTTTTTCTGCGAGCACAAGCTGCCTGACATCCTTTTTCACATTTGCAGAAAATATATTTAAAATTACGTCTGGAGCAGGAATTTTTTACGTTGTGATTGGTAGGAGTCAGTATTTGTGAAGTTTCCTAACCAATCATAAGCGAACAAGGGGCCTGCTTATTCCAATGCTTGGATCAGGGGTGCAGAAACTTCCTCAACACGCGACCGGCCGTTCGCGTGAAATGGGGGAACCCATGTGAGGACGAGAAAAGTGGGGGAACCCATGTGAGGACGAAAAAATTGGGGGAACCTTAGGAGGTTTTATTTTTATAGGGTTTAGGGGGAACTTGACTGTTGAGTACGCTACTTTGAGGGAACCCAACTGTGGACCGCGTTACTTTATGTGTCCGGCAAAATTCTGCGAAAAATTAAAACTGCGCGCTCAAGATGAATTCCACTTGGAACCGGAGAAAAGTGACCGCATATGTGAACTGACATGTCAACGCGACGCGTTGATCAAAGAAATTACAGACATTAAAAATGAAAATAGTACTCTGACAAATTCAAAATTAAAAATGAGGAAAGAGATTGAGTATTTAAACAAAGAAGTGGTAAAGTTAAAAGGCGATTTGAGAAGTAAAGATGAAAAAATAGAAATGTAGCTAACTGAAATCAAAATGACCCATAAGGATAAGCTACATGAAAAATTATCTAGTTGAAATAAATTACTGTTAATGTTGGAAAATGAAAAAGAAACACTACTGGAGAGAGTGAAGGAAACTGAGAAAGCTTATGAGGATCAAAAAACTGACTTTAATATTGTAAAAGATAAATTAAATGAATTAAAACTAGTTAATATTCGATTAAAAGACCTCATGAGAAAACAACAAAGAACTCACATCGTAGATACAAATGACTCAAATAGAAATGACACGCAGAATAATCATCCCCGCCCCCGAAACATTTAAATGTGAATGAGGAAAAGAAAAGAAAAATTTTACTAGTAGCAGACTCTAATGGAGGAGGTATTGCTAACATGATAATAGATAGACTTAGTGTTATTGAACTTACTTACATCTATTTGTAGATCAAATGCAAAATTCAATAGTGTTGTTAAATATTTTGGACATCTGTCAAAACATTATACTAAAAACGATATGATAATTGTAATTGGAGGAACATGTGACATTACATCCAAAAGTGTGGATAGAAATAGGACGATACATGAACTATCTTTTGAAATGGGCCGACTTAGTCAAAAAACAAAACATACAAGACTGCACTTACTTTTTTAAGCTATTCGACAGATATGACATTCCTGGCCCTGACCACATAAGGTTTAAAGAATGTTTTGATAAGCTCCTACATCACATAGATGAGAAATATAACCATGTAAAACTTTTAGACATTAATCATCTCAGTAGAAATTGTTACACAAAACAAGGTCTTCATTTAAGCTATTCAGGTAAATTAGAAATAAGAAATATAATTTCCAATGAGGTTTGTAGCTTAAATATTCTAGAGAATACCCTTGGAGATAACTTTTCTTCAAACTTAGAAAATCTGACAGAACTACAACAAATTTGGCGGATGATAATTTCTTCAAACAAGACAAGCATGACGTTATTAAAAGTAAATTTCACATATCGGCACTAAATCTCAACATCAGAAGTCTATGTAATAGTAAGAAAAAACATATCTTTAAATTAGAACTAGACAAATGTACGAATCTTACAGATATTATTCTCATAACTGAATCTTGGTTCAAAATGAGCTCCATTATGCCAATAGATGTATACCTAGTGGCCAACTCATTTATTAGGTCCATAAAAAACGGAGGAGAGGCACCATTTACACTACAAGAAGAGCTATCCACACCCAATGTAAAACGCTAGGCTCGCTCTCCATAGAATCAACCATTGAGATCAGCGCTGTAGCAGTAGAACGAATTAGGGAGGTTAGCTTGAAAAAACCAATTCATTTTGTATCAGTTTATCGCCCATCTGCGGAAGGCGATGCCTTCCAAACTTTTCTGGACTGAATGGAAGCCCTTCTCTCTACACAATTTGATAAAAAACAGCTTTACATTGTATCAGGTGATTTCAATAATGATCTGCTAGACGGTAAAGACTTTTAAACTATGGCATTTCTTAATTTGCTCGAAAGTTTCAAAGCTGAGTCCAACTTCCAGAACCAACCATCTAGAGCCACAAAATCCTCTGTCACTCTAATTGACAACTGTTTCACCGATATTCCCGTAAAAACTGCCATTACTCAAGACTTTGGCCTCTCCGATCATTATGGCCAAATTGTTGCCCTTAACTGCAAAAAATTAGCAAATCAAGACAAAGCCCCTCCTTTCTTCTATAACTTATGGTCATAAGAGAATAAAATTAACCTAGGCATCCTACTAGGTAGTTTATCTATTTTCTATCTTAACCAACCTCTCTGGAGATCTTGCATCAAAATTAGAAAATTTTATTAATCAGATATATAATGCCATTGAAAAATGCTACCTACCCACTAAAGCCAGGCAAAAGAAATAAGAGGAATAAGGATATTCGTCGTAACAAAAAAGTAAACGACCTTTTCGAAGAAAAAAAACATTTTCATCTACTCTGCAAACAAACATGGCGACGCGACGTTAAATTTAAAAAAGCAAGCAAAAAAGCAGAAAAAAAACTGTTCAAAGGGCTTTATCAGCAAAAACGAATTGAGAACGATGATGAAATAAGGAGCTCAAGAAACAGAGGAAGAACAATACGTAGTATTATTAATGAGGAGACGAGAGCTGAACTAGAGTCTGAATCAAATCTATAGAGATCCATGGCATAGAGAAAACTGATCCTGGTGAAATTGCGAATGAGTTCAATACGTACTTTGCCAATTTGGCTACAAACGGCCCCCTTACTGTAAACAGCTCTGAAGCCCTTGGTATACTTAATAGATGTTATCCCTATGTTTCATCTTGCTTTGAGTTTAATCAGATCAGTATTGATGAACTCCAAGCAGTTATCAATAAGCTAGAACTCAGTAAATATGACAAAAATGGCGACATACCAACTTTCATTTTTAAGGACTACTTTCACTTAATGGGCCAACCTCTGCTTACCTTAATAAATTCCTGTATAAGGGAAGGAACGTTTCCTGTTTTTACGAAGGTTGGTACTTTAACGCCACATTACAAGAAGAAAGGAGACAAAAAGTTATTGAGCAACTATCGCCCGATTACTGTCCTTCCTACAGTAGCAAAAATTTATGAAAAAATTTTATACTTGCGACTCAATAAATATTTTGAATCCAATAACCTTTCAAACGAAAGTCACTTCGGTTTTAGAAAAAACCTGTCAACGGTTCATGCCATTTCAAAACTGTTAGGAAGCATCTTTCGAGCCTTCGAAGAAAAAGTTCCAGCGTTAAGTCTGCACTTTGACCTTGCTAAGGCTTTTGACTCTATCGATCATGAGCTTTTATTAAGGAAATTGAAATTCTACAGTCTAAGCAACCAGGCAATACAGCTCATGACGTAATACCTTCCAGACAGGAAGCAAGTACTAAAAATTAATTCAGGCACCAAGGAAGTCTTCTCTACAACTCGTATGGTAAAATCAGGAGTGCCTCAGGGCTCTATATTGGGCCTACTTTTGTTCAATATTTTTATAAATGACTTGCCTCAATATGCAGACTTTCGAACAAACCTATTTGCTGACGACACCTCAGTAGTTTTAATTGGAAATGATATGTTG